TGCCATACCCAGCCCTGGGGTCCAGCCTGGCATTGCTCCTGCCTGGCTAATGGGACCCAGCTCTTATCTGCTTCTCGAGAAAAATCACACCCATGGAGCCAGAAACAGGATCAGGGCGGTGGGAGGGGTGAGCCCCCATCCTTGGCCTCAGTGGAGGGGTGAAATAACCAAGGAGCATGGTGGGGAAATGTGAGACAGGCAGGAAATCACAGCCTGGTGGCACGGAGCAGAGAACAAAGCAGCTCTTTAACCCCTCTCAGCCCCTGACCACGGTGCCCCGTGAGCGTGGCGGCAGTGGGAGTTACAAAAGGGACGCAAAATCCCCCCAGGTTAGCACAGAAACCCAGCACGGCATGCTCTGCACCCGCCCAGCCCAACTGCGGCGGCCGGGTCTTACCTGGCTCCTCGATAACGTAGAGGATGGACTTGCCGCTGGAGTCCTCGTAGTACTGGAACCGCACCACGCAGTCGTCCTCATCCTTGTAGGTGCAGTTCACGGCGTCCTTGCCCCTGTCACCTGCCAGAGCGAGAGGCTCAGGACCCCCGTGCCAGGGGGATGCACACGTGGAAGGAAAGGGGATGTTAAATCCCCACGGATTTCCACGCTTCAGGACCGGGGTTTGGGTCTCCTCTCTTACCCAATTCCTGCACCGTCTCGATCTCATCACGGCACATGCGGCTGCAGGACTGCTGCTCCACCAGCGGTCCTCGCTCAAACTTCTTGCACTCCACACAGTCCCTGAGGAAGAGGAGAGAGGTACCGTGAGCTCCTCCGTGCCTCCCCAGGGGACCGTCACACCTTTCAGTCTCTTCAGGCTGCGGCAGTTGCTGCAATCCCAACCCAACCAGGCTGCAGCTGGCGAGAGCTCCTGCTGCCGGCTCCCTGATGAGATATGACCCATCCCAGGTCCCTGCCAGCTCCCCGATGGGGTGCGACCTCTCCCAGCTCTCTGCCCACTCTCACTTTTTGATGGTGCAGGCATCCGGGCACGTGGGACACTTCTCGCACGTGTCACCGTAGGAGCCGGGCTGGGTGCAGTCGCACTTGCCACACACGCAGGAGCCGTGGCCGCTGCACACCAGCCCGTTGCTGGACATGCACGTGTCGGTGCGGGTGGTGCAGTTGCAGTAGTCGCCGGTCCAGTCCGAGTCGCACAGACAATCCCCGCAGCTGCACTGCCCATGGCCTGGGGACAACCCAGAGTGCATCAGGACCCTCGGGTGTCCCCATAGATCCCCTTAGCAATCACCCATATGGGATGCCCACGCACCCAGAGCAGCAGCTCCACCTCCGTGGGCACGGCAAGGCAGACCAGCCACCCAGGGCAACCCCTTTCCACTGTCCTTGGGGTGGGACATGCAGCACCTCACATCAAACCTCAACCTCTGCCGTGTCCCCAACACTCTTCTTATTCCACCCAAACAAGAAAAAACTGCTAAACTTCAGGCTGAGCTGCCCCAGTCTGGCAGGTTGGCAGCAGCAGCTGGAGATGCTCAATTAGATCCATCTCTGAGCTAGTCAAGCTCTGGCTTTGGCTTTTAATTTCAGATTGAGTCAGGACATCTGGTCAAACCCCCCAGTTCCCACTCGTTTCCCAGCCCTGAACCAGGCAGGGGAAACTGACTGCTGGGAAAAGCCCAACGAGCTCTGCAAGCTCGCCAAGACTGGTTTAATCAGACAGACAGACAGACGTGCTCAAACCCTGCCAAAGCCTGGAGCTATTTGGATTGCGGTTTGATTTCGGCTCAAAGACAAGACCTGGTGAGCGGTGGAAATGCCGTGGCGTTGGCACGCGCCGAGCCGTCCCGAGCCCTGAGTGCACTGGGGCACGTCGGGAACGCTGCTCCCGGCG